CGATTTCGCTCCTATTGGAGCCTTTCAGGTAGGCGCAGTTCCCGGGTTTCTGTTCGCTGTGTACTCCACCCGAACCACTAATCGTACGAAATTGGCGATTTGGGACAGTTTAGACAGTTGACCTAACCAAATCCCTGGGTAATTCCTTGGTTATGCTATTCTCCCCCGACTTCATTTTCAAATGAGTGTATCTCGCCAGTTGCATACAACTGGCTGTTCCAATAGAAGATATAGTTGACGGCAACTCTGGGAATACGCCAACCTGATGAGCCCCACAAAGGGCAACTTGGTCAAGGATTTTCGAGGAGTGTTCAGCAACCCTATGCTTTTCAAGAAAATACACCGTAATACCTCGAATATTGCCTCGAATGAGGCTTTTTTGTCCAGGACGTTCACTTTGAGAGTTCCATGAGAAAAAAAGCAAGAGATTCGGCTGGGAACTGCTTGATTTTCCGGTTAATTCCAGCTTAATTTGTAAATAAATGCAATTCATTAAGAGCTGATGGTACTGTTTCTTCCTTCCCCTGTACCACCCACGGCCTCATTCTTGATTCTTCTGACTTCATTTTGGTTGATTAGCTTTATATCTCAGCTCCGGGATCTTCAAGATAAGTAGACTGGTCGAACTTGCTTTCCGCAACCATTAATGAACTTGTAATACCGAAGGTACTGTTCAACACCCTTTAACACGCAGTAAATCTAATCCAGTCAACCGGCCACTTCACCTCCTGTAATTTTAGGATGTTGGAGTAAGTTGTCAGATAGAGGGGACTCATCCTGGCCATAGTGGTCCATGAACAAGTGATTTGTTAGAGTATGGGGCGCCGGCGGATGGCAGTCATTGAGGCGAAGATTAGAGTGATTGAAATATTCATTGACCGATATACCCGGACACCCGCTAGAAGGTTCCAACGGCGCCACCATCTCTTGCTTTCCATCCAATTGACGCCTACGCATGCCTGTCACCCAAAGAAACCTGCAAGTTCTGAGTTGCCAGAACAAGGACTGCCTACGACATTTTACTGAAGCTCATTAGTGTTCTATGGTGTCCAGTGTGTTGTCAATGCGCCTAAGTCGACCTTTGTTGTTGTCTCTACTACGCGTGCATTTCTTCCCACCATTTGTGCCTCTTCTGTGTTGTGTCACGTGCTCCAAGTACACCCGACACCGAGTCAGCGTTGCCCCTTTCTTCCTTACACTGGTTGAGTAATAGCTCTGTTCAAGTCATAACAGTTGATTCGGCACTACAAGCCTGTTCGACGCAAATAATTCCTAATCATCCTTCTCCCGTAACGATAGGACTGACAAGGTTTCATCCAACCTTGGATGTCACTTTCGTTTGCTGTCGTCGTCAGTATTGGCAATAAACCACCCATAACACACATTGAGGCTTAGCTGTCATATAACCATAACGCAATAAAAGCTCAGTAAATAGTGGAAAGCAAAGGGAGGGATCGGAACTTAATGCGGGGAAGTCTCATGTCCTTGTGGAAAACGATGAAGGTGCCCATAACTTTGTGCAGCCTCATACTGAACACTTCTGAGCATCATGTCGGATTGACTCAGTATCATTCGCGAACATCGCCCGACAAAAATCCAGTGTACAACAGCATGCGAGCTGGACAACCTGGCTGGGAAATGGCAGTATATGTGCCATTGGGATCGGTTACGTATCATATTCTGCAGGGTTTCCAGTTACCTAGAAGTAGAATTACATTGGCCCCAGCCAGGAAGGCACAAAGGTCCCATAGAACTCACACTATAGCCGCTTTCATTTTACGTTGCCATTCTATGGCCCGTCCTCGTTAACAGTGACTTGGGGTTGGTTGGGCGTACGTAATATACACCCCAACTACCTTAATCTGGTAAGTTTCATCTGCTGTTGTAACAGGTTGGATGCTTTGTCCATTACCCACTTGCACGTATCCAATCTAGAGTTCTGTCATATGCTTCAGAAGTGCGGTTCTCAGATTCCCTTATTGTAACCTAAAAGGCTTAGTTACAGTTATACGTGACACCAGAAATCCGACACCTCATGTTTCCGACCACACACACAGAAACCGTCAGATATCAGAACGACTAGCCTTCCCTCAATGCGGAACTTCATACCCCTTCGATCTCGGAATTAATTCGGATAGATGGTCTACTTGCACGAACCAAGTTTGCACGTAGACAGAAAGATGCAGCAGAACGAAAAAAGTCTGGAAATGGATAGGCCCGTTCTGATCGAAAGTCAATCGAGGCTGTTACGTCTACTTGTCAACAGTGGATTCAAAACACCATCTGTTGTTTGTATACTAGAAAGCCGGTGTATAATGGGCACCATCATCCAGAACCTTTAACGTAATATCCTCAACAATAGTATAATTGAACGTTAACTTCCGTTCCTTCATCCTACATTTGATTCACTGAAACCAAGTAATAGTTTCCCATCTTAAGTCCTGCTTTAGCTTTTCGAAGAAACTATTTGCCATTTTTTGTAATGTACTACTCATAAGGTTGCTGAAAATCCGTCGACAGCCCACGACCGGTTTCGCCCTTTTTGGGGCTCATCAGGTAGAGACATACCTGGAACCCAGCTGAATCTCTCGTTTGTGATGTTCTGAGGCAACTGAATGTGTTGCACCAGGTCGCCTCATGTTTCAGTCGCTACGATATTTGGAATGTCGTGATACATTTATATCTTTGTAATGTGCTACTCATAAGGTTGCTGAAAATCCGTCGACAACCCACGACCGGTTTCGCCTTTTTTAGGGCTCATCAGGTAGGCGCAGCCCCCGAGTTTCCCTCAACCTTATGCCAGTTTGCCTAGAAGGAGTCTGGTGCTTTGACTGCGAACCATGTCTTTTTCCATCCGATTACACTAAATATCAATCATTGCGACATAGCTCACGTGAACCACCCACAGTGTAGTGGCAATTTAGTGGTTCGTAAGCGAGTACGTGGCAGTGGATAAGAATAACTAAAAGGACAACCAAAGCCTATCTCGGTTTAGGATGATGAGGACATACACTACAGGTCATCAACGACATTTTTCCAACCATGTTGGTCGAAGTTTCTTGGGCATTGATACCGGTAAAAACTGCAACGATGCAGCTACTTCCTAGTTGGGATGCCTAACTAGAGTCTCCTTTTGTGCGTTTAGTCTCTTTGGGCTAAGGTTCTGTAAGGAAACTTCGTCGATTCCACGGGCAGAACCTCAGTCCAAAATGTTTCTCAAACGTGTTTGCTTCAATCTCCATCGAATGTGTACTTCCGTCCCAGATGCATGGGAGGTTCATTTGACTGCTTAACCTAAATTCACAAGTGCCTCTTCCTTTTGTTACGTAGTAACCATATGTTAGGTTATAGAGCAACAACCGTCTGTTAGTGGGCTTTTAACTGACGGTTTTTGTACATTGGCCTTGGTTTGATCGCTCGACCGAAGCGCTCAATGTAACTGCGGTTGTGTATCCTGAGAAGCTTATCTTAAAAGTGCACATCAAAGGCAGAAGTTGAATGATGGGGTCAACTAAGATACGCGACACAAAACTGATTCAACTCCTTATAAATTACGTAGCCAGGTTTTATTTGCACACCAGTAGTCGTTGGCATGTCTGCATTTTCAGCAAATGGTGCGTTTGTTGTGTGGAAAACTTAGATATAAGAACGGATGCAACTACAGACTCACATGAGGTACAAACAGACACTTAAACATATACTTTAAATGTAGACGAGTAAACGTGACAAAAGTTTACAACAATCTGTTTTTGTGCACTTTTCCGATCCTATTCGCATCGAAATTCAGCAGCTGGATGCCGGGAGCAGGACGGTTTTTCAACCTCGCGAGCTACGACGCCAACACCCAACTCGCACATGATTGGTCTGACCAACGGGACCTTAGAATTCGGAATGCTAACACGCACGCCAGACTGCGGAATCACCGACCAATCGCATCATGCGCTGGCTCTCATTGACGTAGTATTCAAATCATGCATATTACAGCATGAATATCATAAATTCCACGTGCGATGTGCACATAGTTGACTTGATTTTAAGCCTACGAATCGTTGGCTTGAAATGCCGAGATGGACTAGAATCTTGTGATTGGGTTTACGTAGCAGCCTCTAATCCTGCCAAAAGTAAAAACGCGCACTATATTATCCTATTACATGGCAATTACCAGCCTTATGGCAACTGAAAACTTCCTCTCCCAGTTGTTCAGTGACGGCCGCCAATGTGCAAGTTGATTGACGCATTTCGAAGGAACGGACGGAGCAATGGGTTGGTTTCGGTTGATATCTCGATGGCTCTCCTTGATTGCAACGTGTATGTACACACTACCTCTGATGTTATCGTCAATTTGCATTGGATATCAGTCAAATGCCCAGTTTGCTTCGGCATCTCTGTGATCCCTTTCATATATCGGATGGGCCTATCAGCGCTGTGGTCTACGGCAAAAAGACGCCCAACGAACTCCTCAGGTTCATCCGTTAAGCTGAAAACCTGACTTCTGTGATATTTGCCTATTCGGGCACGGTAAGCGCGTCGAAGAAGATATTAAACACCATCCGATAAAATTCCTGTCAGTGTGGAAGTTCAAGTGACCGAGTGACACGTTCATGCATCGTTGCTGCTGGCAAACAGACCATTCCTTCACCACGATGTACGGAGAGGGGTTCTTAGTCCTATGTGCTGTACTGTTGGTCAGCATACAGAGTTGACTGAGAACGAATTTCTCGGTGGCTTGTATTACAAACTTCGAGACAGCCCGTGAGTTGTGCTCACTGGACGTGTGACCACCAGTTTCCCTAAACATCTGTACACTCGACGCAGCAACGTGAAACATCTGTACTACAATATGCCGCCGAGATGTGATGATGACCTTCAGCTACTGTCTTTGATACTAATTCGGGCCATCCTGAGCACTGAATATACTGTACATCCTTTCTGGCTGTTGCAATTGCCATTTCGTCATTTCAGAAATGAAGGATACCACCGGAAGCTGTTGGGCTTCATAGTCTGATTCACAGCAGTGCATGTTGATTTCATACAAGATGTTTCATACCGTCGAGTATAAGAGGTTATCGTGGTTCACTCTAACACCTATGCCAATTTCTATTTCAGCCTCTGATGACATGCCTTTACCATGGCGTGTGCGCCTATCATATGCAGTCGGACATGTGCTCAACGATCTTTGTGCGTCCGTGTGGTTCACATATACTCTAGTCTTCTTTAAATTTGGCGTGGGTTTTCCCACCACTCTGGCGGGATCTGTGGTTTTGATTGGCCAGGTCGCGGATGGCCTGGCAACACCGGTGGTCGGTTTACTGTCTGATCGAGGTTTCGTTCATAACCCTGGAGAAGGGGCCCACTACGAGCCGATTATCTCAACCACTGACAATCCACACTCCTCTTTGCGTTCTTTTCTACGATTTTGTCCAACTGGTCGAAAGGCATGGCATTTCTGGGGCAGTCTGCTCGTAATATTGGCCTTTCCTCTTATTTTTGGTTCGCCTGTTGGGACTTCAGACTCTAGTAACACATTGAAAATGATTTACTATGCACCTATGGTTATCCTGTTTCAAGTGAGTTCATTTTTGTCCAGTGTTTCGGGTTCGGTTGTTGGTCATTTCAAACCATTTAAACTGTTACTTCGGACGATTGAATGAACTATAGTTAACCTTCTCAAAGGAAACTACCCACAAGGTTGCTGAAAACTCTTGGACAGCCCACGACCAGTTTCGCCCTTCTTGGGACTCGTCAGGTAGGCGCAGTCCCCGGGTTTCTGTCAACTTTATGTTCTACTTGAATCCAACTGAATCATGAGGTGGCCTGTGTGTAGTACATTCATTTGTAGAATATCATAAACGAGAGATTCAGTTGGGTCTCTCGTGAAAACCAAATTGATTTGCAAATGAGTGTATTTCACAGTTAACCTTATTTCACCAAACGCCTGCTGCGACATTGCCGTGCCAGAGTTTGGGAATCAGCTTGCAAGTGTTCCGTCACCATACAAGGGGAAATTTTCATGTCGCGGGTGGAAGCGGTAACAGTCCCTGTTCAGTCTTGGGTGAATAAGTAAAACCAAACGGGACAACGCAGCTAGATCGATTTCAATGAACTGCGTTCACTCACACATATTGTTGACCCCAACATCTTGTTCACTCCACTCAAATAGGGGGTGAAATGCTAATAGAACCGTTTGTTTGCCCTAGTCCTCCCCTTTTTCGACACAACGCTCGCCTTTTCAATTATCATCAATCAATCGTCTATGATAAATTTTGATTTGATGCACAAAGACCTTAAAATATCATATTCCATGCTGAGACGGCGCGAAGTGCCGTTGATCCAACTGCTTACTGCTCTTGACCTTCATTAGACATGTGTGGTGCTTACGGACCCAATCAGTAATGCCATGAGTAAAGGTAACGTTTCTTTGAGTTATTTGGAGGATGACAGGGATATCTCATCATACTTGATGGGTGGGGCAGTTATTTGTTCCACCGAACTAAGCAACAGGTACATCATAGTAGTCTCTACATTACAAAACTTGTTGATGAACAATTTCCTGGTTAATCCATCTGAGTAGTTTCGGGATACACATCTCGTACGCCGATAAGAGTTAGGCGATCAAGGTCGTGTATAACCAGATAACCGAAAGTGCACAAAGTTTTCCATTTTTCATTTATATGACCCTTAGAGGCTCAATGACTACGGCTCTTGCACTCAATAACAGTGGTAGCCTAGTTCCATATTACAACGTATCGTTTGATGCTATGATCCTAAATGAAAAAGTGCTGTTGGACGGCACGATAGGGTGGGGCATGGCAGTTTGAGTTGCAACGATCGATCGGATCAGTCTTAGCATGCCCCAAGATGTAGAAGGCTTTCAGTGAAGGAGTCGCGTAGAGTATTTAGCTAACAGTTTTAGTCTCCGTTTCAAAGCTGAGCCAACGCACCTGCGCATATTAAATGCACTTGTTGGCAAATAGTTGAAGATTGCTGGCACTGAAATTGTTTCCAAAAACAAATCAGAAACGATTCAAACAACACCAGTAAAGTTCTTAAGTGGCCTAACAGCAAAGTCAGCAACCGTAGACAAAACGATCAGTTCGTTTCAGGCCTATGTATTGAACTACTACTTTTTGTTTCAGAAGGGCTAGGTAAACTATCGCTAGTTCTACCAAGCCCTTCTGAACGATGACTTCTCAATCGGTGAGTTCGTTTCGGACCTATGTATCGAACTACTACTTTTTGTTTCAGAAGGGCTTGGCAAACAGTCGCTAGTTCTACCAGGCCCTTCTGAACGATGACTTCTCAATCGGTTCCAAACTTTTTGCAATGGACTGAATTTCATTTATCGTTTTATCACATGATTATCCCCTGAACACTGTTCAGTTACGACTTGATTCGAATGCACCAATGCTTGTCAGACTAAATCGTTTTAGAACGGAATACAATGCGGCTTCGTTTCCTTAGGTGGAGTTGTCGCTCCAGTGTGACCCGTTCAGCACATGGTTTGTATAGAGGGATGTTTTTTTTCCATTTCACACTGCGGCTTTGATATAGAGCGGAGCCTAATGGTTTCCGTTGTGCATGTGATGTTCTCTTCAAGGCCATCGTATCAGTACGATTGATACTGGCCAGCTGTATACTGGAATGGAAACTATCAAGTATTTTCCCCTAGCAGCAATATTGTCATCCTTTCAAAAGAATACCTCCAGTGATAGATCATCAGTGGTCTTCCTCGAAAAGAAACTTGCCAACAAATTGTACTTCCAGAGACCACGTTAAAGTGTTCACTTTAGAGGGAAGCAACTGTGGAAACACTGAGCAACGCTGTAAATCACCATTTTCATAGTAAACAGCACGTTTGTCTCTCTCAGGTCCATGTCAGGTTAAATTATTTGGATGCATTTTTAACCAACCTTCAATTTCCTTCTCGTTAACCATGTTGCCTAGATTGGTTGGGCGGCTGTTCAAATCACTCATTTGGCCTTGATGAATGATCTTACCTGGGATCCCAGTGAACGCACTCTTCTCACTTCCCTACGGCACCTCTTCACAGTTTTGAGCAATTTGACTGTTTACCTGTGCACATATTTCCTTTTGAACCACACCGAACCTTCACCGGTCCCAAAGAATTTCACACATATCACTCCTGGACTGGAAGAAGCAAGGCGCATAAAGCTCACGCAGCTGTATCCATACTGCCTGTCACACAGCATTTCCCAATCACTCCTAAATTGCACAAGTTCGGATGATCCTTCGAAAGACATCGATTTTGGCAAAGATGATCTATCAGCCTTCCGGAACCTATCACTAGCCATACTCGGAGCGGGTGGATTGATGACAGTGTTGTTTCATCTTGGCGTGCGTCAGTCAGATGGTGTGCAGCAGGCGGCTTTGGAGCAACCGATCCCCACTGAAAGGAGTATGTTGATTTATCCTTCTGTTTATTATGGTACCCCAAATGAATACGCAGTCATCCACTCTCTTATAGGACGTTCATTGATCCCCTCATCAGGCTCATGATGCAGTTTATTGTGAGCTGCCATGCATTTTCTATGGGATTTCCCTGTTCAGTCAATTATGGCACAACCAGAAAAGCAGCACCACCACGCCCGGTTTACTGATTGACCAAACGACCAATGGGTGCGCGGAAAGTGCTAACACATTGGCTCGGTCTGCATAGCACACTATGTCAATTGTGCTGCGAAAAACACGGCAGAGTCCCTACGTATGGAATATCCTGTATTTCATTTTATTTCACTTCACTGTGGTCCTTTTAAGTTACCTATCGGAGTTGGTGACACCCGGTTAATCCGCGCAATGAATAGCAAGCGCGGCTTGGTGAGACCAAATCGGTTTACTCGCCTGTCCAACATTTTCACTTAGTGGACATCGCCATTTTCCGAACACTGATTTTCGCTCGTTAGATAGGTGGTACAGCGTGGCATCTTAACAAACAGCGGACCATCATGTGAACACCCCTCACCCTCTAGTCGATTAACTCTACTTCAGGACGGCATTATTCATCTGTCACCCCGGAGATTTTTCCATCACTCAACATCACCTACCCGGACTCTGTGTGCATGTCACATATGTCAATAGTCCGCTATTCATCGCAGTGTTCTTATATAATAAGCGTCATTCAACGTTAGCCGGTGCCAGGTTTTCTGGTCTTTACGTCGCATGAAATATTCTCCACGACCGACATCTTGCTTCGGCATTATAAATAATAGTACGACTTCGACTATGTACTGTGCAGGAAGCACCCAGGCGAGCCAATCCCTAAGCTGCACAGTCCGGGGGGAGTGTAACCTACGTGCCAGATGGATTGAAAACGTGAGACAGTCCTATCGAGGTTCCTGTTTCAATCACCGGACCAGCTCTCGCCTTACCGAATACATAGATAACATGTCCAACTGGTAATTCCATTGGTAGTAGCGGAAATGCCGTCAGTACGAACACAGCCATTTCGTTTGTCGACTGGAGCTCAGAAGTGTTGGTTTGCACTTCTGTGACCATGTCCAATCAATACGTCGTTGATCGCAGTCTTACAGTAACAAATCGGGCGTGGCCGAATGTCTGTATCGGCGTATTTATCTTGGCCATTATCCCTGTTAGTTCACAAGTAAATGGCTTTGATCCACACGATCCGTACTCAATCTGGTCTGGATACAGCCCGATTATAGGAATGGCTGGCAGTTTATTGTTCATCCAGGTATCCGACTCTCTCTGGATCCCACAGCTTCTTGTAGTCATTCTGATAAAGGTAGAGAACTCTTTCCCACAAGTGCACTCTCAAAAGTGATGTCGATGGTTCCCTAAAATCCCAAAACAGCATCACCGTGTATTCTGACGAACTTCTAACTGAATACCAACAATGAATCCCTCCAATTAACAGACCAACCACTTCCATTGTTTCAAAATATCAAATATTCTAGCTTCAACTGTGGTGCGCTGACATCCTGGGTCACTACAGTTGGTAATGCAGTTTGCGACACTTTTCTGGCAGTCAGCTCTATGTTAAAGCGAACTACACTGTCCGATCGATTGGAAACAATGGATGTACTTTGCTTTGGATGATCGACGTGTTTTTGTTACAGTGTTCGTAGTTACAACATACATTATGTTTTAGTATTGGAACTGTCTGGTGTAAGACAGTATCATCCACTGTGTTTATTCCGTTCCTCGGCGTTCTCGTCGCGCACTTTGCACCTATTTGGTGTGTTCCAGTTGAGCGTTTTTTAGACGAATGTTGTTGCTTATATTGCTAAGGCTGTATGGCATAATTGTCTATTTACCCAACGAAGTGTTGTAAGCCTGTTAAAGTGTTTTTGAACCACCTACCGATTAATTGGGTTTTACTCCAAACTCGTTTCATGGCTGACTGAATCTTTCTGCCAGACCACTCTACTATCTCCGTCCTAATGACCAACAGCATTGGGCCACGTGGACAAACTCGAGGTTGTTCAGGCTATTGAGCTGAGTGCTTTGTCCGGAAACATTAGCTGTATTCATGAGATCTCCTGAAATGTTTGGCGATAAGTTTTTTTTCTCAAAATGTTTTCAGTACCGTTTTTATTGGTTACTGCCCACACGACATGTGGTTCATCAAGGAGAATCGTGCGGGACTGTCTTTTCGTAATTCAAGATCCTTTGAAAACACGCTGACCAACTGACTCAGGTGCTGATCTCTAACTATCCGTCAATTGTGTGTACAACACGTCATTACCTCTCGACCACGAAATTGACTATAAACAATATGGGATAGGTGAAGTTGTCACACGTGAAAGATTCATACAATTTGGTGTATGATGAGTCGATTCCAATTAGGCTTATTTTCTGATGACCACAACTAGTGATTTGTTGACTTTCCGGTATGTCCTCAGACAATTCTGTGCAAGGCGCGCAGAAAGATATGGTATTAATTTCGCAGCTTATTCAGAAGATTCATCCTTCAAGCGCGTGAGCACTGTTCGCTACAAGTTATTTGGCGCTCACAAGCAGTACAGGATTTCGGACATACATCGCAGAATAGATCAGCGTCTAGCAGAGGGCATGATACCACACCACAATCGTCAAAAAGGTTGGACGTCAAACCGTCACCATTTGTCGTGTGTTGCAAACACCCTGTTGCGTACCTCTTAATGAACGGGTGCAAAGTCTTCATTCCGTTGACAGTTATGCAATCAGTACGCAAAATTTAGGCCCGCCAATGAGACCGTGCTGATTAAAGTTCACACCTACTACTGTGTGCGTAAAGAGTTTCGAAGCAGTGAATTTGGTTACTGTTTCGGTGCCTAAATGAAAGCAACTTTTGATATGTAATTATCTATCCCTTTAAATTTTTACCTGACTCTGTTTCGTGTATATGTCGTCTACATTTTCCACTCCTCACGGACAATGGCAGTTAGGAAATACCAGTATCCTGTGGTGTTTCTTCTATCCGCATTGATCTGTAAACCGATGGTGGACTGTCGAAGAATAGGAGTGTCGTGCCAAGAAAAACACTTCGATGTCTCGGATATCTTTCCGGTTGGAATATAGAGTAGCATACGGGCGAAAAATTCGGTTGGAGGATACCATACACCCACAAAACACCCTCATAATTTGTGCCACAGTAACTAATTTGTAGGAAATAAGGCTGACGGAGACCCAGGGACCACTCCCGCCTGATGAGTTCCAAGAAGAGTGAGACTGTTAGCCACTAGTTTTCAGGAGTTGTATATGTAGGCTTGGTTCAAGAAAATTGATATTTTGAGCACCGTTTCCACTGAGACATGGGACATTTGTGCAGTACATTTGACTGAAGAGTATCATTGAAACGATTTGGTTGAAGCCGCGTCCAAGTCCACCTTAAACATTTTACTTTCAATAAATCTGGCTATCCGCAAACCCCACCAGGCAGCATTCATACAGAAATCGTTTTCGAACAAAATACCTGCGGAAAGTGTCTTGCGGGGTTCATCATCCGCCGGGGCTCAGTGCATCGCTTGGTTTCGAATTCAGACTCAAAATGTACCAAGCAGTCTAGCTTGAGTTTATATAAACTTAATCTAAAGTCATTGTTCCATTTTCGTTGTTTCTTTGTAGCGCTCACTTTTTCCCAGTGTCTCATTTATCTGAATAGTCCTGAACTGTTTTGAAGGCAAACTCGGTTGTTCATGATCTAAGGTTTTTTCTAAGCATCTGTTAGTTTAGCCAGCCGAGTTGGCCTCCCGTGAACGGTCATATGTTTAAACCTCGTCCGGTACTCGCTAATCGATTGAATTCCCCAAGCATGATGCATCAATTTCATAGCAGTCTATTAACCTTCTTTCATTTCAGCTCGTCTGTCACCCTCCGAATCAGAAGCATCGTCGGCCGAAACCACCCCTCATCCCGAAATTTATTCTTGGAAGGGATGGCTGAAGTTGCCTTTGTTTTGGATACAGGGGTTTGTCTACATGACTGTGCGCCTGATTGTCAATGTTTCTCAGGTGAACTTTCCACTTTGCCCGATTCATCTGTACCCGTAGTTGACGTAGTTCGGGTCGAACAAAATATGGCAATTCAGCTTTGGGTTAAGTGAGCTTGCCCATGGTGTTCCTCGCAAGTCCACAGGTGTCGTGCACTATTCACAACACCGTCTTGGGTTATTCCTGCCCCTACACTTGCATTCCATAAGTTGTGTTCCACAAACTATATCATTCTGTGTTGGCCAGTTCCAACCACTATAATATGTCGACATGAGTGTGACCCCAATGCCCTGTTAAAACCAGCGAGACTAAAACTCTGACGACCCTGTTCTCACTTTATGTAAAAATCGTCATTTAGGCAGTTTGGTACATTCACAGGAAGTTTGTTGACATTTCTCCTTGTTCTAGTACTTCTGACAGCATCTCACATGAATGAGTGTCAATGTTCAGCGTTAGCACTGGTATGCGATATCAATCTGACCAGCTTTCATCAACGTACAAGTAGATGTAACTAGTACTTAAAACCTTCAGATACGAAACCGTCATAGACCAAACCTATGATGCTATGCTACCTTCGCGATTCTCCAGCTCCAAGACCTGACAAAACCACACTAACCAGGCCGTGCTTCTCTTATCGAGTCACTGCGTCCTCGCGCAATTACCTAAGCTCGCGAGGCTTGCACGTAAACTGTTGATCAGCGACAATACTGCCGCCAGTCCGTCGCTTGGATAAGCATCCTGTGGACCCACCCTTAACGTGGTCACTGAGGCATGTCTTACCATCTCAACAACAATGGAAACGTGGGCGGTTGATATTACCTCGTCCTTGAGTCTATGAAAGATAGATGTGCAAACGACCTGAACTTACCTGAACGGCGGTGTAGCCACCACAAAAACTACAAAGAGCTGCAACGGCAAATGATACTTCCCAGTTGCCCGGGTCGCAGAAGGGAGTTTGGACGAGGTACACCAACTTGATCCTTTGACTCAAAACATTGAGAGAGGATAGTGTTTTGTTCAGGAAGCTTTCCACTAGCTCCGGACTCAAAATTCTGAACCGTGGAACGGCGGTTGGTACGGTTTCCTTAGAGGACTTCCAGGTGCCAGTGACTCAAATGTCTGGGGTGGTCTGGCTTAAGGATGCAGGCAAAAAGACAGCTGTCTGAGTCCTAACGCGCCTGCACACAGCAGGTACCTCCTGAGCAGCGCCATACTCCTTGGTTTAAATAGCATTTCGACCGCACTGAACAGTGTTAACACTTTGGAGGCTACAGTGTATGGTTCTTATGGTCAGCCTTTTATAATTCGTCCGTTCTCGGAGGAAGGCAGCATCCGTAAACATGCGCATTCTGGTCGATTGAAGGAAACACCGTACTGTATTCAGCCTCCTATCGCAGGAGACCGTACGACTTTACATCTAGACCGCCCCGTAATATGATCTCACACTCAGTACGTGGACTCGTTCGTCTTCCTGGTATGGTTGAACATTAAGGAACTGAGTTCGAGCCAGGATCATTGCAGCACTGCAGCTCGACAACCGCGACAAGGTGACAGCTTTAGGCCGTGTATATCGGTATGCCCAGTACAGAGAGAACAAGTATGTCAAAGGGGAAGAAAGAAGTAGTAGCAGTAATCTCAGTTGCTAGGACGACAAATGGCTTAGCAACCAAGGAGCTGGTAGATCTAGCGTTTGGACGAATTTAGCAGGATGTTTTTCGGTTGCTGCACTGATGAATGTTGAAACGAAATCACCGCATCTCTGCACAATGCTGGGAGTTACCTGTGGCAAGGCGCTTCCAGGTCTACAGAATTGGTGGACATCAGACAGAACAGTGGCACCACTTGAAACGCAACCGGACGAGTTATCAGACGCTAAGTCAAAGTTAGCGTGCGTGCCGACCATGAAGTCTGGTGGACACGAAAATGAAAAAGCTTCAGAAAGTTGAGAATGCCAGAAGACTATTTCAATTGGTCTGTGACCATGCCCCGGAAACAGCCTCTGAACAAAATGATCAAGGGTCAAAGTAGCGCGACCTTCTTCAGTAAGTAGGACACCCCAACCTCTTAGCCGAGCACTTCTGGCAACATTTTTTGTAGGTACCTTCTGCCACTCAGTTGAACTCTGCAAATGAAGTGGTACCCTTGACTGTGAACCTGAAACTCCCAACAGCCTCAGAGGTGTATGACTTCATATGTTCTCTCAGGTGCCACCGGTTGGGATAATTTCCCATCTGCAGCCCTCAAGGATGGCAGTGAAGTTCTCAGTCAGTGCTTGTTTTATCTGTCTGTTCCATACAGCTTCGGAGAATTACTGATAGTGTACAGTTTCAAATATGGGGCGCGTAAAGTGTACGGTGGTCACAGGGGGGACCAACTTGACTCCAGTCGTAACGAGATTGTCGTTATCGATTGTCCTTCGTCGCCTTATTGTGGCCAGTTAGGTATTGAGCAGCAAGCGGGATTAACTGATTAACTGACCAAAGTCATCTCGTCCCTTGAACCGCTAAACCAACAAGGTGTAAGGCCATGTTTCTGGATATGGACTCACTGAACAGGCCACTTACATCCCAAGGTTGCGGAGCACTTTACATATTTTGCATGTTGTATCAGTTCCGGTTGTAGTGTGGCAAATGAGGTCAGTAGACGAGCCTGTAAGGTTTGGGCCGCGTTTGTTAATTTGAGAGATTTCCGGTGTCAAAGTGGCTTATCCGTGAATCCCAAGGACGTGTGTATCAGGATACAGTGTGGGTTGTTTCGCTGTATGGCTGCTTGCATCTGCAAGCAGCGGAACTGAGACGTCTACACGTCTTCGACAACCGTTTTGTCCGGACCGTAGCTGGTGTAGGTTGGTGTCGTAACGAAAAACGTGTGTTCGGTTGTGCAACAAGGACTTCAATCGAAGTGTGTACTTAGCACCAGGAGCTACGTTGGTTAGGCCATGCGTTGGTTGCTCATGACGAACAATCGTTTGCCGAAGAGCGTTTTACTCCGTGCCAAATTCAAAGTGACACAAGCTTAGAGGTGGTCCAGTTTTGGCTTGGCAAATGGGTATAAAATTGCTTACGAAAATCCTGAATACCGTCAGTGCAACTCGCCTTCCAGAATGGGGACCGAATTGCCCTCAGTGCGCGTGGTTGGAGACGCTGAAAGATGTGGCTATGATCGATGTTAGGGGATTTATCTCGTCACTTTCTATTCCGACCGCTTGAATGAGTGTCTAGAGGTGTAGGCACCTCGCAACGACTGTGATAGACGAGCGCTAAGTCCCGTCCCCATCCAGTTTTATTATTTTCTTCACAATAAGTCTTTCAAATAAACCATGGTTGTACGGCAGCTATACATCAGTGTTGAACACCGATGTTATGCTGTCGATAGTTGATTTTGCCCGAAAGTAACAACGTTGTCGTTCGAGTGCTAACAACCCGTCATTTTTGTTGATTATATTTCCATGTAATTACAAAATTAGCGCAGGTTTTTAATAAAATGCAATTTAATTTGTGCTTAGGCCACAACCTGTTCAAAGCCCAGTTACCAGTTTCGCCAGCGAATAATGTTGGTGCATAGTGTGGACTGGAACCCAAATTAATATTGTTCATCTCTAGACTACGATATACTGTGTGCTCGGAGTCTCCCTCACTGTTTCGTTTGTGCCGTTCCGTCTCCCGTTTGCCATCCTTTAGGCTTATATCACGGTATACTTGCTACATTCGTTGCTTCTTCCAAAAGAAACCATGGCTTTGGTTCCACTTACCATGTACCTGGCTAGCATAGCCACCTTACTTGTGCAAAAGCCAATTCAAGATCGAATCAGCCGCGAAGTAAGTTGTTTCTCTGTCTACCCCTGTTTTACCCAACCGCAGCCCGAGTAATGAATTATAATAACCTTCAGGTTTGTCTGGGAAAAAATTGGCTGTAGTGGTTTGCATCCAGTTTCACAAGCACACTGGGTAAAAAACGGCTGTTGACAAGTGTACATTAGTCTCCTCCGTCATTCCACTTTGCAAGCTGAATCCCTTTGATGATTAGAGGATACTCCGCGTAAGAGGTCACCTCCGATGAGCTGCTTCGGCTTTTGAAACCAAGCACCCTATCATACTGCCAAGGAGCCGCTGCATCACCACACTCATCATAAAACACTACCATGAAAACCATGGCCATGTGGGCGTTGGACAAGTGCTGGCAGCTGTGCGCAACAGACACTGGGTTGTGTAGAGTCAAGCGGCCGTCAGCTGTGTCCTTTCGCCATGTTATCGCTGCTGTCGATGGTCTTCGCCACCATGCTACCAAATGATGGACCTCTTGCCAACTGAACGAACCAACGGCAATCGTAGACCATTCGCTTTCACCGCGGTGGACTACTTCGGGCCTCTGCTAGTCAAACGACGACGTGGCAACAAGAAACTATATGGCTGTGCATTCACTCGTATGAGCATCCGTACCCAACGTGCTGTTCAATCGGGCTAGTCCACACCGTGGATACGACTTCCTTCCTAAGCGCGTTCTCGTAGTGTCGCTAGACGGGGCAACCTAGTAAGGCTTAATAGTGATAGCCAGACCAGTTTCAAGGGGGCGAAGCTGACGTGAAGGCATACCAGGATAAGTTGAAGACCAGGTTGCTAGAGCACGAGTGCAACTGGGTTCTCCGTACCGAAACCCAGTCATCGTGAAGGTATTTGGGGGAGACTGATTCGGAGTATCAGGCGAATTTTGCGGGCATTATTAGGGGACAGACTGGTGGACAACAGAACGTTGCTGACAACCTCGACTGAGATCTCAAAAATCCTAAACGACCCCCCGTTAGTTAAACTGACTTCGGCTATGCAGTTCTTATGGCAAACCACCTGTTGCCTCTGAGCGCAAATCCTCCAACAGCCAATCATCACGTCGACTCACGGAACTTAACCAAAGCATGCAGACACGTTAAACCCTTAGCCGACCTATTCTGGGATCGGTGAATGAGGGAGTACCTTCCAACCTTGCAGACGATGCCAAAGTGGCTTAAACAAGAAAGGACCCTGAATGAAGGAGACCCCGTTCTCGGCACCCAAAGGGCAGCGAGAGAAGGGCATTGTCGAGAGGGTATTTCAATCGACTGATGGGGCTCTTATGGAGATCGTAAGGACCACTCGGGGAGTATTCCATCGATACATACGCCAAATTTATCTACTGGAACCCCCCGGTGAGGATAGTGCAGACATCGAGAAGCGGAGCGACCGAGCGGCTGATCACTCTCCTGGATCAGTCTCCACGTAACCTTATGGCTGGGGGAGTGTTAATTTCTCCCGCGAATCAACAGCGATCAGCATTTGTTCCCCTATTTGTTTTGACTACTCGTGCACAGCCTGATTTACGCTTGTCCATTATAACCCAGTTTTGCCTCGTTGCTGCATTTCCCCGGGATTTTTTTCCTCCCGCTAAGACCTGCCTACTAATGTCAGGGTTTGATTGCCTTCCTATCTTCGCTTGCAATTTCGTATCAACTCAACTTGTTTTTGATAGCCTGCTCCAATGGAAAAGCGAGCCAAACGGGGATCGAATTTTGAACCCCCTCGGGGATGGTTGGCACCCTAACTATTACTCCAACTCGACTTCTCCGCCGGCCCTATTTTTGTCTTACTTTTATATCGCATCTTACTCGGTAGGCTTCGGTGAGATTTTGTTTTAAACGGGCCTAAAAGCGTATTTTGACTTGACACGTGACTCGAGCTACCGCGTCTGCGGATAGTTTCCCGAACGTACTGGCTGTTTTCTGCTCCGCTATCTCTGCATACAACCTATTCACACTGTCTCACTGCCCGTATCCAAAGCCATGCTGCTCATTGGCTGTTTTTCTGCTTCTACCGATTCCGCTATTATTGATTAAACAGTTCTCAATACAGCATCCACCGCCCTCGTACGTCTGCTTCTGTTGCCCACTGCATATGAACAGCGTGTAGTCAGATAGCCCCAATCGTTCTTTAAGATCCTTAGCTGCCTGGATCTTACACTGGTGAACCGAAGAAAACTCGTTGGAACATGGACAGCTTTTCTTTCCTAAGTCGTTAGTCAGAAAAAAAAAGCGTGGCAGTTGGAGACAGCGTGCTTTTTTAGCTGAAGATGAAGAATTAAAACAATGGGAGTGAGATATCTCTACGTTACAGCACAGTACCGTTAAGTACCCATACGTATTCCTGAGGACAGTAGGGACCCACGTCGAAAGGCTCCATGCACCTGCACTTCCAATCTCAACTCACTTCCACTACGCACTTATGGCGTAGTCACTTCGGCTGGTGGTGAAACGTTTCCAACCAAATTGCTCAAGTCACTGTACAATGGCCATCCTTATAATCTGAGCCACCAACATTCTTGTCACCTGCAATACCCATCAGTAGGAGTACTATGTATACACTACGGGTTCGACTAACGTTCATACAGTACACATTATTAAGAAGTAATTGACAAGTTTGAAACGACGAATCACAGACGTTCGATATGGAATTTTACTCGTTTTTATTTTGTAATGATCCGGGTGGATCGATGCACCCCGTACACATGTTACCTTAATTGGATCGCATGACTTCGTTCTTATTGACCAGCCCTGTCACCGACCCATAATTGTCTCTTTCACTTTGCGCTTCAGCTAAATATCACGCTCGGTTTCCTGTTTGTTGCATCTTTCTGCATTACGGTCAATTATCCCGGAAATCCTGTTCAGTTATGGCGTGTTTACTTGGCTGCTGGCCTACTGGGTGTGGGTTGTACTGTTATTCTGATCACGTCACTGGCTATGGTATCGGACCTGATCGGGCGAAATCATGACAACGGAGCGTTTGTCTACGGTTACATGTCTTTCACAGACAAGCTCGCCAACGGAATTGTTATTCAATTGATCGAAGTCCTCTGGAATCAATTCCCCTGCTCAAGGTACTATCAGAATGTTGAATCTTACGGAATCGGAGGTTGGGTCGTTGCGGGCTGGTTATTATTGATGGTTCAGACCGCGGTCAAATACCGCACCTCCAACCGTTCTCATATCATTCTCGCACCCTGATTGTTGTTCGAATTGTTTTATGGCTTTTTGGATCCATTTTTTTATTCTCCCGTATACATCCATATTTGAGTTGGATCGGTATATGCTTTACTGGTTTTTGGATTTCACTGGTAAGCGCCGCCTATTCTCTATTTTCGGAATCAGGTTTGACTGAACTACTTTCTTCGTACCGTTTCTGGGCCGCTGTCCAGTTTCGTTTTTTGATCACTTTATTTCTGTACTGGCTTTTCCTTACCAACTGGACATCCTATTTTTTGTTTTACTGTTAACAAACCAATCAACTTATTCCTACACTCACTATGTTCTAGTCTGTAGTTTGTTTCTCGACCAATTGCAAACGCCAAACCCTTCGAAATGCCGACGGGAAAAGGTCAGCGTCAACTTTAGAGATAGCGATACTAGTGTAACGGTGATACTACTGATCGGCAGGCACGCGAGTAGCATGTGTTGTTCGTAGGATTTCGCTTTGCGTCGATTGAAAAATGGAATTCTGTTGCGTAATTCGCGGGGCCACTTTGTAACATTTGCTTTTATTTGACCGATGAATGATTGGAGGCAATTAATCTCTAGGAAGACTCGTTCGGGAGAAGATCTGTGTCCAGGTTTTGTAACTAAGATGCAGATTAGAGTTTTGCTTCCTTGTTCAATGGTCCGTAACCGGTCAGTTGGCATTTCCGAATAAATAACTCCTCACCGAAGGCCTTCTTCCTTTTACTAGTATGAGCGAATTAAAATCTTGAAGAAACTGTTTGAATGCAGTGTATGAATAATGTATTGAAAATATTATCAGCATGGGGTTCATGGAAGAGCAACTGTGAAACTACTGCAGCTAACTTACCGTCAACTTTACTAAAATACTCGGTTAAAATTGGTCCAAATGGGAATCCGATCGCTACGCGCTCTCCTTGTCTATAAATGGTCCCATTAAATACAAATTGTACACTGAATGTTCAGCATAAAGGCAACTCCCTGGAGTCGATTACGGTGGAGCTCATGATAAATTCAGATTGTTTGGTTGTTGTAGCACCCTTTCAGTGACTAGCTGGCACGCCACATAACATGAATCAGAATAAGACTTGAATTGTACTCCTGCGGAAACACTCGTGTACAACCTCACGCAAGATTACGCCAAAAAAACATACTTCGGTGTATCGAATACTGTACGAACTGAAACATGAGGCGGTCTTTGCGTTCCACATACGGTTGGAGAATATCATAATAAATAGGATTCGATTGTTTCATGCTAACTTGCGAATCACTGAGGGCGCTATTTTGTGTTCAGGCGGAACATAAGGCTGATGGGAACTGGAGGGCTATGTATGATAAGATCCAAGAAGCTCGTTAACAAATGAAAACCAACTATACAAATGACGTAAAACGAGCTACGTGAGATCATATTGGCCAGAGTTTTACCCTCCTTACTTCTAACATTCTTTGATTTGTAATGAGTTTTTGGTTGCGATAACTAATTTAGCCTCCGAAGCCCCTTTCGAACATGAGAACAGGGTAGCAGATAATTCACTAGGTCGATTATAACTTAATTTGTCTTCACATCACCCTCATCTCGAGTCTTTTAGTGCGTTCACAGTAGGAGAAAACGAACTGGGCTCAATTTCCCTCCATTCTGAGGCTCACCAACAAAACATGCTCTTGACCATACTCTGATGTTGGTTGTTGATCAGGTGGCTGTTGATCTGTTCGCCGAGCTTGGCAATTGGCTTGCAAAAGTGTCGTCACCATACGAGGAGACATCATCAGTGCGCAGTTGATGCGCTAGCTATTTCAGCCTTACCTCATTTAGTGCAGACTTTTCAGTGCCCTCCCCGAATCACGGAGGCTGTTCAAACGAGATAGATGTGAACACGCACCCAGATAATCCGGAAACTTCTACAGCTTCGTTGGACTTCCTAAGACTACATCACCGTTAGACATCTTTCGCAAAAAGATGCGAAACAACGTCAAGCAGCACAGCCTAGGTTTCCAATTTTCATTCACATTTCTCTAAGACACCGGACTCAATCCGCCGAAAAAATCGTCGACTAGGGTGACAATGCGACTGGTAGCGTTTGAACCGATCAATAAGCGTGACCATACTCGCTTGCTCAAAATCCTCACAAGCTGCAAGACGAGATTCCCATGCGACAGACCAACAATTTTAAATGACCCCAAGTGGTTCTGCGGGTTCAGACCATGAACCAGGTTCACGTCGAATAGTACATACAAATCCAAACATTTCGAACAAAGTCCATGAATTTTAACGTAACAGCCAGATTTGGACATAAGATGAGATCGGTTGTGGACACCCGGCTCCGAAAAATCCTTTCGGATCAATGCTGACATGGAAGGACGCAAAACATACAGTCTGATTGATTCACTCAGACTGCACGACAGCACCTTTGAGCAAGTAGATGAATGAAGTTCCCCATCCTTCAAACGTACCTCTCGGCTCCGTCGTCAGTTAACTCAGAAGAAGCATATTAGTGCAAATACGGACAGGCTACTGAGCGAAGTACACTCGAAGGACTAGAGTTGGACTCCAGTGGTGGACTATCATATCCCGACGCTCCGTTACATCGTTCCTCAAAGCCCACACGAACATCCTTGTGAAGAAGCGTCACTTACTGGACTACCATTCGAAAAGTTACCAGATTTTAAATCCAAAATATTGGTGCACTTCGCTTTCTTGAGAATAATCCCATTACGGAGATAACTTGAATATCGTAACATGCGAAACATGAGGCCACCTGGTGTAGCATCAGGTTACCAAAGACGAAAGACTCAGCGAGGTTTCTGGCGATTCCCGTGTGGAAACCAAATTCGTGCGCAAATGAGTGTAGTTGTCGAAAGTCGTGTAATTTTGGTTCAAGTAGATCATGAGGTTGACGGAAACTCGGGGACTACTCCTATCTGATGAGCCCCAAAACGGTCAAAACCGGTCATGGGTAGTCGAAGAGTTTTCAGCAACCTTGTGAGTAGTTTCCTTTATCAAGATAACCCTGTTACCTTCCAGTCTCTAAAATATACACGCAAACCTACTCTGCACTGACCAGGGAAGAAGACAGTCTCCCATGTACTTAAGTAAAACAGCAGCATCTCACAAGAAAATGACCATCCCTTTACAAGCGGGCAAAAAGCCATCTGGGTCACATAGCGGGCAATGTATTAAATTAGGATTGATAAGCAACAAAACAATGCTCCATGTCGATTGAGGACCTATCGTCGATCGGTCGGTAAGGACGACTTCGATCCGGTTGACTCATGAGACGGCATCCGTCAAGAGGCACACCCATGCATGAATACCGATACCAGAGTAACTAGGTCACACCTGGTTCAGGTTGATACTTTCTCCGTTCTGGCACTGACCTGACGCCTGTTGCAAAACCACACGCGGATTGCTTCGCGATCGTAACCAGTTTCCATTGCAAGTCTTGTGAGTTTGGCTCCTGAGATCAAGTTGTAAGTGAAACATTGATTTGTGTGTAACAAGGAAAACACTCATTACGTATTGCTCCAAAAGTCTGAAAAAGTGCATGCCGGACATAGCAACGTGTGACAGCAAATAAGGATTTCAACAGTGAAAATGTATGATAGCACCAACATACCGACAAAGCATGTGCACCAAAAAAGTATCAGCTGATAACATTCAGTTCATGACTAACAACGGTCGCTACTGACTCGACAGACATTCAGTGAGGACAAGACACCCAGAGTCAGTGTATCAAATCTGTCGACCATGAGCCATATGTACATCCTTCAATCAGCGACGGAAGAGTAAGTCTTTTCTATTAATCTACAACATATCCTTAGGTGGCACTTGGATGACTCAAGTTCTTGCTGCGTTCGTTGGCATTCACAAGCCTCCTTGTTCGAACTAGACAGCATAAAAAATAGCCTATCGAATCTACGATGCATTCAAGTAGCTAAATTGACATCCTCTGGAAAATAAAAACCCCAGACGTAAAAGTCGCGGAAATTTAGTGAGCTGAGGTCAAGAGAGCCAAAAAACAAAGTTATGTGTATTGGTCTTTTGAACCCCGGCCATCTACACCTTAAAGTAACTTACAACATGCTAACCGTTACAGTCACAAGACTCGGTTCGTACGATGGTATTAATCTAAACATGGCTCTTTATTGCTTCGTCATTGTGCGGTCACACGGGGGCGGATACGAGCGATCAGCTTTCGTTTAGCAGATCTGATTCGAATATGAAAAGTGAATAATTACCGAGCTATTGGATTTCATTCCTACCGAAAGATTCTATTAGCATGACGGATCTGCTGCCAAAAGTGTGGTACATTTACCTATAATGCATCCTACTACACCCGACATCTGAAGCCAGTGAGGCCAAAGTGACCAGAAATGAATTACGCAGTTCAAACGGCTCACCGGTTCCAACCTATCAACTAGTGTCTTCAGGTTCACCCAGTCATCTAGTTAATGTAGAGTGGGTAACCACTGAAAGCTTGCTGCATTGTTTGCGTAAAAGACACACATTTGTCCTCTAGCACACTTGCTTCGGGCTCCCGTGAGCTGCCCTGGATGAGGCGTCGGCATGTGCGCGATCATTTTCCATCATAACGTATCACAAACTGATCAGGAGTTTTGGCGAATAAAGGTTCCATCTGCTCCACCTGGATTTAGGCTAAGTGTAATTAAAATAAACACAATAGCCGGAAGCTCATTGCAGCCAAAGCAATAGGAACCGAAAGCTTATAAACAATTCGAAGCCAACATCTACCCACCTTCCGGGCGTGGATCCTCTTTATAGGCTTCCGAAAGGATTGTCAAAACATAATCTGAAAAATGAGTACGTTTCCGTCGCTTCGTTCGACACTCAGGATTCTTTAACTGACAAGTCGTAGTAGGCACAACATCCGCCGACGTGGAATCGAACCCTTTTTCAGATGACTGGCTGAAAACGGCGATGGTATGTGGGACACCCCCAGTAACCTGAGGAAGAGAGCGATTGGAAGTAATCAAGGTGTAACATCGGCCTTTGAAATGAAATGAACAGTAGATAAGAATCAATGTGGCATAGTATTTTGTGGGTTCGATGTGCATAAACCATATCGTGAGGACAATCCTCAGGATCGATTTCCTCAAGAAGTGGTTGATTTGGACTGTCATCAGGCATTCTGTAATAAGGTCACTGAACACTACTGTGCAATTAATCGTGAGCGTCAACTAACTAACTAACTTATTCTAACCGGTTTGATGCCGCAATAGATTTGCGCCAACTAGTAGGCGGATAATGCGTGACAATGAATGAAAGGAACCGCCTGTCTCTGAAAACGAACCACCATTTGTCTGGTGACTTTTCAGGAGAATAGTGCCGGTTGAGGTGAATGGCGTTCATATTGTCAGTCACCTAACCCGAAAATTAGTAGCGAATGAGTACGAAAATAGTGATCAATAGACATGTGGTAGATGACTTTTGTTCCTCGTTGGTCAATCGATAACTAGTTCAATGGTACTGGTTCGGTATCCACGTTTCCAAACCCAGAGTCGGACTAACTGGTCTGATTCCGCTGAGTTCATTGTCGACTAATTCCGACAAGTTACTTGGAACTCGATAAATGATGTGAAATGACTGAATCGGGTCAAATCGTTACCTACATTACTAATCCATATTCAAAGAGATTTCGCCCTCTGGGTGTTCGACCGAGCATGCGAAAACAAAAGGGTTGCAATGGTTACATCCAGGAGAGAGTAAGTTTCATAGAACGCACGAAAGGAACGAAATGTCTACATTTCTTATTGACTGCCTAAAAGAAGTACACAAAGTAGAGAGAGTACAACCGTTTGGAATCTGCAGGACATCCATATCTCAACTGTACAGATTTCTGGACCCACCTTGGTTGCTACACATACCCGGAAAACTTAGCAGCCCACTGGTGGACCACTGCTACATCAAGGTAGTTCTTCACATTACATTACACCGACTCGATAAGGAAACTTAACACTGTGCATCCAACTGGTCAGAACAGTCCGTCCCCTGTCCTGGTGCAATTATTTTGGCTAGTCCACTAGAAGGAGGGGAAGTGGTTTCGTTGATGTTTCATATAAATGAAATTTAGTTCGATGTCTGGCGAGTGGAGTCAGAAGAGTATGTTCGCCCGAGATTCTAGATGGGGAACTCACAACCAGAGCAAACACCATAGGACGAAACCCGTACTTTTGTTGGAAAGCGCATTCAACCGGCGTCAGTGACAGAGAAAGCCCATTGTCAGCAAAAGGCTTCCGTTCAAGAGTGACAGTATTTCAGAATGTACCACAAATCCGGTAAAATAGTCAATCGGAAGAAACCTTATTACTGTCAAACTAAGAGTTTCCTTTTACGGTTTACCAGTATTCAATACGAGGCGCCTGGTTTGGTCCATCAATTGTGATTTATTCGCTTGCTTGCGCGGGTTCCGCGAACAGTATCCATTTCCCAATTCAGATTTCGTCTCAAAGGATCAAGGCGTATTCACCCATATTTCCCGGACTGTAGTCAAACGATAACGCGACCCTGGACCATTTTATACGCACAGGCCACCAGGTCAACCTGACTCAATCAACTAGCAACTCTCCTACCTGTCTGATTATTGAACCTGTACTCTGTTCCTGGTCGTGTTTGTTGATTAGTCTGCGACCATTGAGGCCAGTTAAGACCTTCTGAAAATGCACATATCCATTGAACTCCTTATTCTCAATGAGAATGCGTCACGAATGAATATCGAACGCATAATACCAGTAAAGGGCACCACCTTGGTACCAAAAACTGTCTTAAAAACACTAAAATAGCACTGAATCTTAACGTTCTCCACTTTGATATTTCAAAATGAATTTGATTGACTGCGCAGCGGAAGTATGGCTGGCAGTGCCAAAGTACTGCACACATTTCGGACTTTTACATTTGGACACGCCCTCTACTTCTCACGTCAAAACACAGTTGACGTATGTTTTCGCTCAACAGCACTCCGAAATCGCAACTTTGTACTCAACAACGCATTCGGCCTATAGAAATGGAACAATTATTGACAAAGATGCTCCAAACGCACCAGACATTTCCAGCCTACACCGATTGTTAATTACTATGGCTGAACTGTGATCATTAGTTATGTTTCCTATTTTCCGACTATTCGTGAGTAATATGATTTACGCATGTTTATTATAACGCCGGAACAACGAACGTATGTCGGCTAGTTCATTCCCATTTGAAGTGTTAATCCGAAATGAGCACCAGAATGACTATAGGTGCTATCCTCAATCACCTCCCGACCGCCATCCAACCGAAATGGTTTGACCGACCTTCAAAAAATTCTCAGGGAGAACCGAGATCCCAGTTCCATTGGTTTGATAGATCATGTTCAAGACCGGGCGGAGTTGTTATCAGTTAGAGAGTTTTTCCGCCGAACACCAGGAGATCGAGACACCCCGTGGCTTCGTAACGACACCATCGCTAAGGTCCTCCACACTCGTGACGACTACTGCGGCTAATAGGCTTAGCAATGGAGACAGTACGACAGTGTCCCGTTCGTGCTTGCACTGTGGCGATCAGTGCGCGCAACCTTTGTCCGATCAGTTGTACTTTGCGAAATTTGCTACAAGCTAAGGCGTAACGCGAAGAAGTACCGATCGACGCGCTGTTGTGAACTCAAAGGCTGCGACGGCCTACACCACCTACTGCTTCACCCACCCACTCAGTCGTCAGCCCAATCAGTGAGGCCAACATGCCAGGACGAATGCCGCTCGAACCTGAGCGCCAACTTCTGCAGCGGATCGTGCAAACGAACGTCCGTGGCGTTTGGTGTGCTGCCTGTAACCCTCCACTGTCCTCGCTGAGTTTGCGGAGTCTACCCACTTCTTGATAGCGGTTCTGACACTACAATGCTAAAAGAGGGAACCGCCTTAAAGCTTGGACTATGTCATGAAATCCTGTGGGTTCGAGAGAGCTGATTGGTTAAGGCGCCGGGCTAAGACCGAGAGGTCCGTGCTTCGAAAATAACTTCAGCATCTCATCTGCTCTTATGTAAGCCTGGGTAACCTGGCAGTATCTCTACCCTTGTGATTCATTCCGTTGGCATCGCAACTAAGCACTGAAAGGGTGCTACAGCTGAACAATTTGATTTGATTCGATCTGCCCTGGAGAACGCGTCTTCTCAGCTTGTCTAAAAGACTTGTCATCAAAGGCTCAACCCCCTTGGCAAAAGACTCATCGCCGACAGTCATTTCCACTGTCCTCTTATCCTGCTCCTACCGATTGTGCTGTTACTGATTGTACGTTCTGCTTAATTCATAATGTTAATTAACCCATTTGTTCAAAGAACCAGTTCTCAATGCAACATTTACTGATCTCAACGGACTGCGTAGTCCGATAGCTCCAATCGTCACCCGGACCATAAGTTGGTATTGCTAAATTAGGGTTCTGCTGAGACGAAGAGCGCAATTTAACCAGCCTACTGGGGTTATTGGTCAGTAGTATGTATTTAAACACCTTTTAAAGTCCATTCGAAATGCCAGCCCCGGTCCAATCGCTGCCTAATATGAAGGCGAGGTCAAGTGTTAATGATATTTCATCATTCAATCTCACTGCCAGAGAAGTTGAACAAACGGACCACTTTGATCCAGTTGTTTCCAGTGTCAGACATCGCCTGGCATCATAGCGTGTGACATTCAGTTCACCACTGTCGACATGTTGACTTCGTGTAGCATACAACTTCATAGAGGGGTTAGACAAAATGCTTACAGTAGTATACACGATTATGTGAATGAAACAGGGAAGAACCTTACCGGAGAATCCACAGACGAGTGAGGACGTTGATCCGAAGAACAACCAAGGTTGTTCGAAATGGAATCCAACCGTATTAGCTGCGTTGTCCTGGTCCTTCCCGACACACGCTTTCCCAATGTTATATCGGGTTGAATAGATTCGCTGGACATCAAAGAGCAACCCTTTTGTTCTGTATGGGAGAGCCAACTCTCGAGATAAGGCAATAAACGAAATGCTGCCCTTACGTTGACCTCCAGTCGCTCGAACCTGAGGGAAAATGAGGCCGGTGGAAATTTTTAGTCTCAAGAGACGTGGTGTTCAAAGTGGGAAAAATGGAGAAACCCATGCACATTCCAACGACACCGTAAACAAACGCACCTGGATAGCAAAGACTGACTGAACATGGTTTCGTTGTTAAAATGCCTGGCAAGCTCTGCGCTCAGCTCATTTTGTGATAAACCGGCACGCAGACGATACTGCCTCAAACGATGAACAAATCGGGCCAGGGCGGAAAGATTATGGCCTGATAGGATCAAATCTTCCGCACTGGTTGTAGATGTTGGAGGTGTCGAAGTAGGTGCTTTTAACGAACACCCATTTTGTTCAAGCAGTTGACACACTGACGAAACGAACCAAAACAGAGTACTAGTTAAGAGGGGAACAAAACTGAAGCGAACACAATCTTCGATTAAAAAACGAAGAATGCCTCCAACATTCTATTACAAATAACTCTTGGTAGTGGAAAAAAATTAAGTTCTGAAAACGCAGTGCTCGAGGATTTATGTCTCGTTTGTGGCCCAAATAATCTGCAAAATATGAACGCAAACATCAAGGCCAGTCACGTAAACAACGGAACCGAGCCGAATAGGATGTCGATCTTTCATTGTTCGTTGGTAGATATTAGGTACACTAAGCACGATGAGGTCAAAAATGTTTTTACATTCCCAGTGGTTAATTGAACTGTGGCAGCTAGAACCACCGTACGACAAGTGCGTGGTTAGTATAAATGACAATGATGATGATGATGATGATGACTCTCCACAATGATTTAAACCTGGCTGGTATGATGTGTATTGTTGTCACACCGGTCACGTTGATCAGTTGTCTGGAATTCGCAGCACTAATAAGAAAGTAAATCTCATACGTCAAGACAATCGATTGACTTTTTACGCCATTATACATCATCATCATCATCAGCATCATCATCATCATCGACAGCATGACATCAGTATTCAACACTGATGCTTCACCGCCGTACAACCATGATTTATTTGATCCGTGGTTCGAACCCCTCCAGACACTCACTCAGGCCGTTATACATACGTATCAAGAGTATTGTACCAAAGCGTAAAACAAACTCGTGTATGAAACTGGTGCACACAACTTGCGGTGGATCTTCATATCATCAGCCACTTGAAGTGCTTCGTAAAAAGTAAGTACATTTCATAACACGCAGAAGTGAAACGGCTCTCACCTGACCAGTGTTATCCAACAGTTAAACGCGAAACTTTTATTTGTACATATACAGGAAAGACGTTTCGTCACACTTCATTCGCTTCTTCTATGGGACGATGTCTCTAATTTAAGACGCAACGGGAGGTTGACAAAGAGCAATACCGGAAGTGCCGCTGAACGTCTACAAATCGCGCATCATCATTCTGTGAAAGTATTTTGTGTGAAGAGATGGTGGTAGGAAACTCTTCGCGAATTCCATTCGAAGGACAGAAGGCACGCTTAAAATACTAACGAAGTGACCAAATAGTAGACTTAAAAGACCATTACAGGTGCGTTGCTCCAATTAGGATCACATGCCATCCTGACTGAAAGAGTCACTCACTGCACTACATTAGCAAACGGGCATCTGTGTAAGCAGTCTAATGTGACGCCAAGAGAGGATAAATCAGCCCTAATAACCGGCTGGATCCAGAATGAAACGATAGGACGAAGTAATTTACTCACCCAGTTGATTCAAAACGGATGTGTCGACAGTTTTACTTGGATCCAGCACTACTTTAGGTAAACTTTTGCTGTCTTTTTGAGGTTGAAGACGAGGAAGTGTGGCATCCAATGGTTGTTCTACTAAAGACAGAACCTGCATCGCTTCTGGTTTGGCAGGACTACGTTCCGGAAAGGAGGTTCCATTCTGATGGCCCGAATGTGCCTTTTGCGAGGGTCCATTTTCTACTCCAAACGGGAAACACGTTTTGTCTGGGACCTCGTAATCTAGGGTAACCAGATTACTTTGGTTACGATAACCTATTACTGAGTTGCACTTATCGATTGAGAGGTTGGTTGGGACGTCTGATGACTCCAGGTCCGTGTACGGTTGGAATGGGTGTTTTCGTAACACGAACTGTCCACTCTGAATTTCGACGGAGTAGTTGGGCAGAGACAACTGTCCTTCAGGAAGAAATAAGAGAGAAAAACGATACAGTTACTATGCTTATAGTACACAAGATGGCAACAAGGACTGTCGCTTTTGTCGTAAACAAAGATAATTTAACTGCTAGATGTTCCATAGTATGGCACAATCTGAAGGATGGAAGCTTTGACCAGCACCCACCATGTGTTATTCAATTGTATAACTGAAATTCAGCCCGTAGAAAGTGCGATGTGTGAGATACTGCACGTCGCCCGGAGCTAAACAAACGCAAGCCAAGTGTATGCTAGAATCAAGAAACTTCCAGTCAGGCCATCGTGTTCTTACTGCTGTGCCAGATGGTGCAGTGGTTACAGCGCGAATTTACCGACCGAAAGGTCCGTGGTTCGAACCCAACCTCTACCTACGCTTGAGCAACTTGGCAGTATCCCTGCTCTCGTGCTTTCTTTGGGTGGCACGGCAGCTAGGCACCGAAAGGGTGTCTGAACGATTATTACTTTATGACTTTGTCTGCTGTGCCATTTTTAGCTCCATGTATAAAGCTGCACAGCCCCGGTGATACACACGATGCAGGAATATGCACAAGGCCGACTCCACAACAGACGCCGATATCATCACAAAAAACATCGGATGCAATCAATTATTAACCAGAGGGATTCAGCGAACGGTAAAGTGATTTCCGTCTGAAAGAACGGCCATATGACCGATCCGAATGGTTCACTCGAAAACGTGTCCAGATTTCGCTAGCACAGACATATTGCGGGATGCTCACAACCGTGAGAAGTGAAACACATAGGTGTTAGCAGAAAACAGGGCTAACACTCAACAGTTAATTAAAGTAACGTGATTTAGGCCATAGCTTATTTGATTATCTTATTGTCAATTCGGATGGGAGAGGATTCACGTGATAGGATGTGTCACAGGCTTTATTGCATAAATACAATATTGAATAGGTCTCTATTAATACTATGAATCTGGAAGAAATCAACTTCCTGCAAACCCACGACGAATCGTTTGCAGCTGAGGCGCGCTTTAGTGAATCGTTTCAAAGCACACCGAACTCACTTACAGCATCAGTTCTTCAACATTTGTCTTGCTTTTCGGGGGGACAATCAGAGAAGTAAATCAGCTAGTGTGAGACATCGCTGGAAACATGTTTTTCCAGCATGCCACACGGGAGAAGAAACATTGTGCTCTTCATGCGTAAACGTCCAGGAAGGGTACAAATTCCCGTAGTGACCTCAAGTTTTTTTTTCAGGAAAGATCACATTACTTGTCATTTGAATTTAATTAACTGTGGGGTACCTGTTTCTTACTAACATTGTCTTATAAATAATCTGCTTTCAGTTTTCTCAGCAATTACCTAATCTTATGGCTCATACACAGTCTAGGCGTAATGTCTGAACTGAACTACGATGACCCTTTTGCGCCCCACCGCCTGAGAGCACCTCATCATCTCTAACTAATCACGCGACTACCTGGTCCTCAGGATATTGCCTATTCGTGCAAAGAGCGATTTTTAAAACAAAAACTCATGATCATTTCGTAATGCATGTCCACCAGAGTTCCAAACCGTTCAAGGGAGCGAGTAAGAGAGCATTTCCTCCGACATATAATGTGTCTAATGCCAACAGACTTTTTGGTTTTGTAGTTCGCTTCATTTCAATTGCTAGTAACTAGTGAGTAGTACCCATATGGGCTAAACCAATTAGGCTGGTGGTGTTCACCCTTATCAGTCCAGTGATTTATGGAGCGATTAGCAGCGAAGTCAGATGTCTTACCCATATCAGAAACCTGAAACAGAATGCTCCCGCCTCCCGGTACGACGATCAACTCGGTCGGTAGCAGCACGTAATGAGGTAATTCACTGGATACGCCGTTATTGAACTGTGCCTCAGTGGAGAGGTCGAGGGCCATGGAGGAGACTGAAACTAAGAACAAAAACTTCCAAAGGTTACTCGTTCATCCGTGAGATCCGCTGCCCGGTGTGCAGCTGTAATTCAACCCTAAGGAAGCACTTGGCAAGGTGCATACTTGGATTCCTAAAACCTACATACCGAGCAGATTACGGTACATACAGCAGTACGCACAGGCATCAGAGATACTAATGAAAACAAGAATAATAAAAATAATAACTAAATCGTTCAGCAAGGATCCGATACCCAAGTACGGCTGCTGAACTAACCTCCTCATCAGCTTCTGCACACTTTTGGTCGTGCAGCTCTGGGATTCAAATACCACCGTAGCTGCTTCTGTTGGGGCTGGTATTTTTATAAGCCACAAAGCTGAAGGCTGCCTGCCTGATTAGAGAATAATAATAATAATAATAATAATAATAATAATAGTCGTTCAGCTGTAACAATCTTTCGGTGCCTAGCATCCATGCCACCCGAAGGAAGCAGGGGGGCTGAGATACTCAGACCTAGGCAGGAGTAATCGAGATACCGGAGTTGGGTTCGAACCACGGACCTTCCAGCCAGTAAATTTGTACCTTAATCATCTCGGACATCCTCCGTAACAGCCAAATAAACCCCAGTGGAAAGCCGACAGAAGTCAGTCAACAATGGAAGTACAGCGTACCACTTCGTTGCTCCGGCGCGACAAATCACATGGTACAGATCGTTCGCATCCTGCATCCTTCGAAGAAAGGAGTGAGTCCTTCATGGCTATCCAGAAGGCTTCACTCTAAAGTATCTGGAGTAAGTAAAGAGTAGTGACAGAATGACGCCACGATGGTGAGTCCTACATTCAAAAAGGATGCACAAACATCGTGAGAAAACCGCCGGGCCATCAGTTTAGTGGTCATGGTTTTCCAGTTGCTCTCTGGCATTATCCTACAAAGGTTAATCGGGAGAATCAGATTTGCGTCGCGGTCTGGTTGAGGTTGCTTTCACCCTATAGGAAATCGTTCAGCTGTAACACTTCTTCGCTACCATGCCACCAAAAGGGAGCACGCAGGATGAAATAATGCCAGGTTACCCAAGTCTAGACAGAGAAAGTCGAGAGAGAGAGAGAGAGAGAGAGAGAGAAATTGACCCTAGCTTCATTTTCCGATCAGTACTGGAACTGCAACACTCACCGTAACAACTAACAGGGATCGTCTTTCTCGATTTCATACCGTTTTTTGACCACTCTGATCCGTCACGATGGGACTGATATTTACCGCGGTATGATGATGTGTGCCTACATGACCCATTGAGCTATACTGGATGAAGTTCGTGTGACTCACAGTCTCTCATATCTAGTTGGTCAATGGTTAGAGGTCTAACAAACACATTCCTCTGGTCCTCTTAGTTGCGGGTTAGAACAAGTGTGGCGACTTGATCCATAAAAATGGCAGTGCACTTGTATTCCCTGCGAAACACCTATTACTTTCAGTCAGGCTCTTGAGCCAAGGCTTTGGTCGAGGACCCTAATCGTCCAACTGTCTAGGTGTGGGCACCCTGGCAGTATCCCAGCCCACGTACAACCATGACACTTTATGACAAATTAGCAAACAAGCAATGCTTGCTGAAACCTCATACTCTTAAAATTGATGTATTTTGTCCCCGAAACACGAATACAAAACCCAAGCCTGGTTATGCATCTCAGAACGCCAAGGATGAACTCGGCTCTTTCATATTTCTCCATCCATGTGTCCGGTGACCCAGAAGCGATGACTCGTGAAATACATGGCGTGAGAGTTGCACTCATCCCCAAAGCTGGACGCGGTTTACTGGAGTGGATCCCAATAAACAGTCGGCTTTGCGCCCTCCGGCTATTCACTTCAATCAAGCGCAATGCTTCTCGGCATAAAAGGCGGTGCCTGTTGGTAGTGTCGGCTTGTGTCCTAACGGACTGCAGTCCTGATGCTCAGAAGGATACTTTAATTCGAGAAGATCCGGGCTCATTCGCCAAGTAATAATTGTGATACTTGTGGGCGATATGAATGCACAAGTCCGTCGTCTGAGCTCCTTGGAATCAAATTTGGGTGGTCGATTCGAAGTTGATGCCTGCATTTATGTTTGGTGGGCTAAATCGTGCAAAATGGAAGCTATCATTCTACGTGAAGGCCAGAAACGAGGTTGGTTATGAATCAAATTTGGTCGATTCGAAGTTGATGCCTGCATTTATGTTTGGTGGGCTAAATCGTGCAAAATGGAAGCTATCATTCTACGTGAAGGAAGGCCACGAGGTTGGTTATGCAATAATTCACACTACCCCGTTTTCAATGACCGTTCCTCAGCGGTGTGCGATCAATACCACGATATAATCACAAGAGTGCGTTGATCAATAACGGCCCCCTTCTAAATGCATTGTGGACACGAACAGACTGGACCTTATCGTGGTGTGGCGGTTTGTGTACCTCGGCGACCCATTGAGCTATACTGGAGGGTGACCGCGCGACACTCACAGAGTCTCTCATACCAGGTTGGTCAGTGGTTAGAGGTGTGACGAACACAGTCTCCTGGCCCTCCAGGTTGGGAGTTGGAACATGTATGGCGACTTGTTCCGTACAAAAAGTAATGCATTTGCATTTCCCCGCCAAACACCGCTGCCTTGCGGTTGGGCTTTTGAGCCAAAGGCTTTGGTTGAGGACCCTAATCGTCCTCCTGTCTAGGTGTGGGCGCCCTGGCAGTATCCCAGCCCTCGTACAACCATGACCTACACAACTAACAATACTCTCATGCCACATCGG